GATAATATAAAAATAAGAAATAAGGGATTTATTATATAAAAAAGTAATATTAATATCTAGCCTTAGTTTAATAAGTCCCGCTATAAAGTATATACTTATTACTAAGAAGTATATACTAGATAATTAAACCCTTATATTATTATAACTATTATCTATAACGTTATATCGTGCTAACGAAGTTTTTTTTTCATACATCTCAACCCCCCTCGTTGTAATAGTCCTCGGTGTTCAGCGTGGGGCAACATTGATTTACATATGAACGGGTCAGGATCGTTCAGCTAGGCATGGGTATAACTATAATGAAATGATATCACCTATGAATAAGAAGGTTTATTGAGGTGCAGGAGAACTGGAGCTACATGAGTCAGGTGATGGAGCGGGGCCGTGGGGAATTGTCCAACGACCGAGTACCATATTAAGGCGTTTTAAGACCAGAGAGAATAAGCTTCTTGAAGCGTCTCGACGTCCTCCATCATAATGACCCCCGGCCACCTCGCATGGTGGCGGCTACCACCTACACGGCGGCAGTTTAGCTAACAATCGATCGAGTTTAATTTCGGCCCTTAAACTCGATTAATTAAACCTACGTTAGGTCGATTAAAGCTCGACTTAACTAATCAGCGACCTCGATTAATAACTTATTAAGTACTTAATATACTATGCCTAATTAGGTAATTTATATAGACCCCTTAGTATAGGAATCCCGCGTAAGATCTTAGAAGTAATCTAATTTTTCTATATCATCTTAGCTTCAACTATGTCATCGCCGAGGCCGTTGCGCTTGTCAGTGATGAGCTCACTACCGTCAGAGAACACGCGCTCTACGGAGTCCATAATCATCTGTTCACTTGACCCAGAGTAAGCCGTCCGAGTTATCTGGCTCATGGCTCTCTGCCGCCCCATGCGGGTTCGACACTACACTACCGCACACGTACGAAATGAGTTCGATGAGCGAGTGGGCAGTCTTTGTCCCGGCTACCCTTCTCTTCTATCGGCGTACTCTTTTCAACCATGCACCAGGCCGCCATCATTCCAGGAGGATAATAACAATTTTGAGACGCAGTGTGATGACAACAGCATAGCGACCGTCACAGCCAATCTTACGCTAATGATGCTACAGCTAGGCCGGAGCAGGAAGGTGAATAACAAAGGCGAGTAGAGGTCAGCCAAAAGTCTCTAACTCGGAGTACCACACCGCACCTGCTTTACGGGAAGTCATCTTTTAGCACTCGCATTGATTTGGGGTGGTTGGTATCCATGTCGAGCTGAGACAGCGGCCACCACCACAGCACAGCTTCCTTGGCGGCCCAGCCTGCCGCAGCTGAATTAGTCTGCAACTCCCCGGGGGATGATGCTAGTCCAGCATCAGGTGGGCTCAAGCATGTGAAAATGTAGCAGCAGGAAGCGGAGCAACATGGAGTCGGTTGGGTTCTCTGGGTGGCAGGACCATTCATCCCAGGCTTCTACGCGTACATGGCCTCATCTTTCCACATGGGTTTGAATATTTGTTTATGCTCTTAACACATTCGACACTGAGATAGAGACCACAAACAGGCCGGCAGGCTAGAGCGGTACGTGGACTGTACTTGATGGTCTCCTTTAAATGCTCCGCCCAGCACTCTCTGCTAACATAAACCCAGCATGACCGGTTTATCCCTTGGGAATACACCTACTCGTCACAAATTGCCCTCACGATCATGTACCTACAGATTGACGACTAACATAGTTGACATCAACATGTCCGTTCTCGGATCACAATCAGGTCTTTCCGAACAAGCGTTATGCGATGCAGATGACAACAATATCACGATGCAGCTTCTGGAAGAGACCATAGATAGACGAAAGGCACAGAACCGCATCGCCCAAAGAAAGCATAGTCAGTTCCCCCGAATCCCTCCAGATCTTCCCACTTATATCCAATCTTGACCAGCATTTTCTTGCATGTGCCTTGTCATATAACTATGTATATACATATGAACAGAATAATCTAATAATTAACCACAGGGCAAAAGCTCAAAGCACGCATCGAGGAACTGGAGTTACAACTGGAGTATGCGAACTCCAACTGTCGACCTATGGTTCAGAGAATGCCACCTCACCCTATGTCCATGACCCCAGTGTCGTATTCAAACACAACAGAGGGCAATGCATTATCCCATATGGACCACATCGAGGATCTCTTTGCAGGTTCCAGAGGTCAATTAGAAAGCGTTCGGAACTCCCAAGAATACAACGTGTTGTTCGGCGTATCGCCTCCATTCAGCCACCTCGAAACATCTTCACTCGGTGCAGAGCTCTCACCATTACAGACAAGGGACTTGACAGCTGATGGTTGGTCCACTTACTGTCTTGTTCAAATCTTTGTTGCCAAGGCGAGGCCGTTACTAACGATCACTGTTTACAATTCAAGGCGAGGCCCAGGACAACACTGTTCCCAGAGGTTTCTCCTACATTTTGGCTCCTGAAGCTTTGGAACCACCGACATCTTCTTTATTGACGACACCGATTCCCCGAGCAAATGAAAATGAAAAGACTCAGCCGATCCCAACTGCGAATCGCAGGCCTTCATTGCATCCGAACAGTGACCTCCAAGATCTTGATGATCCAGCTGATCCTCCATGCTCATGGACCATGGAGCGTAAAGTCGCTTACCTCGTCGACTGCTCTAAGGCACTCGGATTCCGTGACTTTGACTCAGTTATTATGAGCTTTTACACAACTTCATTTGATATCATGTCCAAAGCTCATAATATGCAGAGGGTTAGCAGGATCCGTGGCCTTGCTTCTGTTCTGCGCACCATTGATGCCAGCGCCGAGGCCTGGCCCCCGCACGAGAGCCACGGCTATCGAGCCGAGATCTTCAAAGCCGCTGAGCATCTTTATAAGGCTGAGCTCCAAAGAGCTATCGATAGCGGCGCGCTGATGGTGCTAGAGGAAAGAGTCAACGAGGATATAACGGACCCGGTGGCGGCGGTTAGGCTTACATCTCATAAGAGCGAAATTCTATCCCAGGTATGTGCAAATTAATGTTCTTTCTACTACATCTCCACTTTCAGTATCTCATCTCATCCAACGGGATTCGAAGAACATTGTGGCTGAGCAAAATCGTTTTTTTCTGGAATCTAGCTACCAAATCTTTGGACATTTCTATCAGAGCTGTCGGAATGCAACCCTCCAGTATCATTCACGATGCTACTCAATTACTATATGTCCTATCACAAAGACTTAGCTCATGGTTAGAGAAGATAATGTAATGGAACTACTTGAAAAAGGTCAACCATGTGAATATTATGGTTGTTGATAGATACCCCTAGACCCTATTTCGAAGAGGAGACTATCATTCACGAGCGGACATGTTTTCACAGATTTAAAAAAAGAAAAAAAAAAGGGGGGGGGGCGTGAAATGGAAGCTTGTCGATTTCTACATAAGTCGTTTAAGAAAAATTTGCAAAAGGCTATCTATCCTATTAGATTCTCGGTTCCCTCCCGGTCATGCAAAATGAGTGAGAGCAGAACAGGACATTGAAGCCAACATCTTAGGCCTTCATTACATCCCCATTAGCAAGATCTGACAGCGCAAATACCGTGGCGAGCATTCATGCCGTCATCAGCAGCCTTGACGAGGCAGATGCCATGCTGGGCTTTAATACCATCTTCAGCAGATCTGACAGCGCAAATACCGTGGCGAGCCGTGACGCCATCAACACCCATGGCAGCACAGATGCCATGGTGAGCAACCACTTCCTCCCCCTGCTTCTTGCTAAAAGTCCAGGCGGCTTGGAATGCATCAAAGCTCTGTGGGCCAATGACCTTGGAGCCGATAAGACCCGTGGATGGAATGACGATACTGCTGCGGCCGTAGGTCACCTCCATGGTCTCGTTATCCGGGTCACCAGCCTCATACAGGCTGACGCCCAGGACCTCGTCAAGGCCTGTCTCTTGCAGCACGCCAATAAGCTCTTTGACAAAGGCCTCTGGGAAGACAGGCCGGTCGGTGTTGGACACGTCACGCTGTGGTACGAACTTGAACTCTGTAGGCTTGAGCTCGCCGTCGAAGACGCGCCAGGTGTGAGGAAGCACTGAGCCGCCGGTGACGACTTCGTCATCGCCTACAACCCAGGGAGACGAGACTGGGCCAAGCTCGATGATCTTTTCGTTGGGGGCAACGTCGTAGTGTCGGTGGAGGAGACCAACGCCAAAAGCCTTGTCGACGCCGTGCTTCATGAAGACATCTCTGATGCAGGACTTCATATGAGCCAAGCCATTGAGTTCCTGGAGTCGCTGGGACGCCACGTCGACATCGGTCATGGCATCCACGGCGCGGTGGTCGTATGACGCGGGAGTGTAAGTCTGGACGGCTGCGGCTGCCATGTTGTCTATGAGAATTGAGAAAGTTTTAGTGTGTCTTGGTGAAGATAGGAGAGAGGCTGGAGAGATTGAATGCTGTTTGAGTTGCTAAGATCTTTGGTGCTTTCTATTGTCTTTATAGTTGCATCCATACTGACTCCTGGCTCAACTATGTACCGGTAAGTGCCCTCGTGTTGGACAGCAGTGAGCGAAGATCACTTCTGAACATGGCAATACAAGCTGGATGCTGCACAGTCATCTTACTAACTCACGCATTTGCTTTGATCAGGGTTTATGTTTGATACGGCGGTACATATATCATCCGTTGACTAAGATGACTATGGGTGCTGGGATGGCGGGAAAATCATCGCCAGATCTGTCGCTAATCATTTCTAGATTTGGGCATGGTATCTTTGCGGGGAGATTGCCACAATTATCTGCATAACACGCTGATAGGCAGAGGCAACCGAGGCAGCGAGGTTACGTCCTGCGTCAAAGTGTGAGTCGACCCCGTACTCTTAAGCGGCTAATCCGTTTTCTCCTAACATCCTTGACAACCAAGATTCCGAGGCGATTATACTGGACTGCCCAATTGTGCAAGCGAAATCGCTTGATAATACACATCGTCACCTAACAGACTTCAAATGGAGCAAGCCCCGTTGGCTCAGTGGTAAAGCGTGTCACTAGTAAATAGGCACGACGTGATAAGATCACTGGTTTGACTTCAGTGCGGAGCATGGAACATGTATTCTTGCAGAGGTGAACTAAAGTGAGTTCATTGGGGGTTTTCTTTTTCTCTAGTGTTGACTCGACATGGCTCTTCAGGATGTTTCTCTATTGTAGCTTCAAGTATCCATCATTCAAGCACTCCTGTAGAGCCTCGCCAAGATAGGACCGATTCAGACTCTAGGCTTCAGTAGGTCAGCATTGTGGAGGCATGCCACTAATAAGTAGCGCCGCCACGAGGGCATACAGAACTGAAGCAACAAAGAACGGCAGGCTCACGGCCATGCCCCCAATGTCCAACCCTACTGAAAACGACAGTCCGAGGAGCGGCGAGGCACCAATGGTTGAGATACCCTCGAACACGGCGATGGCAGTAAACAATAGTGACAGATGATCTGAATGTACCATTGTCGTCAGGAGAGATCGCAAGGCGGACGAGAAGCCATTGCCAAGCGTGTATGCGAAGAATCCTATCAATTGTTTACTTAGTTGAACAGTACGCAGGCGATCTCGCCGAGAGTAGGCTTATTCTCTTTACATACCAATTATAAATGCCGGAACAGCAGCAGCGAGACCCATGCAGAGGGACCCAGCAACGAGGAAGATAACTGACACTCGACTCAGCGCCAGATTTGCAGCAGCAGATGTCTTCATTCTGTTAATGAGCCATGCGTTAACTTGTGGTAAAACCACAGCAAAGAGTAGAATCTGGCCTGCGGCTTGAATCGAGAGTAAGAAGGCCGTCTAAAAATCCACTATTAGTAAACGCAGGAGAGAAAAGAAGAGACATTTGCTGGCTTCCTAGTCTTGGGTAGTACGCACCTTGGCCAGCGGCCATCCAAATCTCACAGACATGTATTGCAAGATCAGTTCTAGCATGGGGCGAGCCATCTTTGCAACAACCAACGCTAGGAGGCCAATCAGAAGACTCTTGTGGCTACCTAAAGTACGAACACTGTGTTGTATATATTTTGAAAGATGCGACAGAGCCCGTAGACCCTTGTTCTTTGGCGAAATTCGATCATTTGTTGTTTCTTCGCATTGGCCGTTGGCTATTTGGGTTTCTTCCCCTTCCGTGCCCTCTACATCGCTTGGGACATTGTCAGAGGACCTTGAGTCGGGGATACAGCCTAGAACTATGAAGGCAATAGCCTCAAGTGGGACAGCTGTGAGGAAAGCGAAATGTGGTCCTAATGCCTTCATGAGAATTGCACCAAGCGGTGGCGCAATTAGCTCAGTTATGAGAAGGACAACCTGGACCCAGAAAAAGGCCCTTGTTCTGTGAGATGGCAGTTAGCACCCCGTTCAAAGCTAATCAAAAATGCTGGTCTTCGGCGTAGGTGGGTAGAATAGAGTCATGTACGTACCGCGATTCTTCTGGGGTCGCAGCAGCAATGATGGCCATGATCATGGGACTGATTACAGTGGAACCGCCTCCCAACACTAAGAAAGCCGGTGCCGCATAGACAGCGCGAACAGGAAACGTTTGGTGGAAGTAAAGCACTGCGAAAGCCCAGATATCTCGAAGGACAAAGCCTAGCAGACCAAGGCCCGTGACCAACCGGCGGCCTTTACTGTCGGCCAGGACCCCATAAGGGATAGCAAGGATAAGACCTGAAATACCCTCGACCATGCCGAGAATGCCTCTCATTTTAGCAAGAGCACTCTGGATCTCATGGACCTTGCAGAGATGCTCGGGAACAGAGCCATCGCGGCCGATGACACTTGGGTCAGTGGCGGCGTAGTAGTGGCGGCAGAGACCAAGCTCAAGCATACGCAGCTTTGGGACTTCGCTTAGGAAGTTGGGGACGTCAACGAGCAGGATGAAGAGGCCGCAGACATACAGGGCGGACCACTGAGAAAAGTGTCTCTGCCATGTCGTCCGCCACCCGTAACCTCTGGCCTTGTTTTGTCGAGAAGGGCTTCTGCTTGGAGCATGGCCATCAAGGTCCGATTGCAAAAGCGGTGTCGATTCTGTGATTGTGATGCCGTGCTGAACGTTTTCCATGGCGTGGACCAGCTATGGAGATATCGTCTTACAGAACAGAGGAAAAGAAAGGTTGACGGGAATTGGGACACAATCGATGCGGACTCTGCGACGAGAGTCTCGGCTGGTTCTCGGTTGACAAAGAACAGCTGTGAACGAACGTGTGTTTCGCAAAGATGGGGATCCAAGCATGCATTAGGCGAGGGTGATGAAGCCGCGTTGGCAACGTAAACGCGTAGTTAGGCGTCCTGATGTGACGTAGCAATGCAACGCAAGGCAAGAGCACAGTAATCTGAGTCAAAGCAAAGCAAAGCAAATCGCATTTGCACTCGTTGGCTTATCAGCCCCACATGACCTCAGCCAACGGGTACAGTACAGTATTGTGTTGGTCCTTGATTTTTACGACGGGAGATTGGTGATCCCTACTACTTCAGGGGGGCTTGGGGACTTTTGGCGGGCAGGGTGTAGGTGGTGTGGTGGCCGCGGCAGGGAAGTGGCAGTACAGTGTAATACAGTGCAGCGCTGGGGCGAGCGGGCGACAGATCGCCATTAGCTGTGCCGCATAATGCATGCAGTGTCAATAGATAAAGAATGCACCCGTGATGAACCCCGATTTTCAGGGCGAGAATTCTCTTTTTTCTTTGCCCGTTGACTTGCAGTAGTGCTGTAGCATCAATATCAGTATCAGTATCAGTATCAGTATCAGCATCAGTGGTTGTCACCACCAAACACGAATCCACCATGCCGTCTATTGGCCCTTGTCTCAATGATGACTCGCTGGGCCCCGCTGTGCGTGGCTGCAGAGGCAGCTTTGACTTCACTGTTGCCTTTGAGGATGTCGTCTTTGTCATTGTTCCAGCTATCGCTTTCCTTTGCCTTGGACTTTCACGCATTTTGAGACTTTGTCGTTGCTGTCCCCTAATTGTCGGCGTCTCGGTAATTCAGTGGACCAAGCTAGTACGTATCTATCTTCACTCCAGCCCGAGTTTGTGTCACTAATAGAGGCTCATGATGTAGGGTCTCGCAACAGGATTGAGTATCTTGCAGCTTGTCCTTCTCATCTTTGGACAGAACTCCACTCAGTTCTCTTCAGGTCGTTCTTTGGCTGCTGCCTCCCTTGCTTTCATCGCAGCTCTACTTCTTATCGCACTGTCGTGGATTGAGCATTCAAGAGCGCCACGGCCTTCCACAGCCATCGCTGCCTACCTTTCCGTCACGCTCTTATTTGATGTTGCTCGGACACGTACCGCATGGCTTCTAACCTTATCCGGGGTGAACCCTAGCTATGTATCTGTGTTGACAGCTGCGACTGTCCTCAAGGCAGTCATCATTTACTTGGAATCACAACAGAAAGAGAAATGGCTTGGCTGGGATATCAAACAGCATAGTCCTGAGGAGACGAGTGGCATTTATAATCTCGGCGTCTTCTTCTGGCTGAACACGTTGTTCATGAAAGGCTATCGTGTCATCCTCACGCTGGAGAGCCTGTATCCCCTCGACAAAGCTCTTGCAGCTGAGAACCACGGCCATCTTGTTGAAAGAATTCACAATAATCCCTACAAGGGTCAGAAATACGGTCTGGCACGGCTGCTACTGCGGATTCTGGCGCCAAAGCTACTGCCGCCATTTGTTCCCCGTGCAGCACTTTTGGCTGCGAGCATGTGTCAACCATTCCTCATCCACTCCCTTCTGCACTACCTGCAGAGCGATGACCAAGACCAGAATCATGGGTATGGACTCATTGGCGCGACAGCCCTGACGTATGGGGTCATTGCATTCTCAACCGCATTATACTGGTACTTCCAGGAGCGTTTTGTCACAATGGTACGCGGTATTCTAGTGCTCGCCGTGTATGAGAAGACCACAGAGCTTAGAATGCCCACGGTCGGGGATTCGGGGGCCCTCACGTTGATGAGCACCGACGTGGAGCGCATCACAAGGGGTATTCTCGACCTCCATGAATATTGGGCCAACACAATTCAGATCGCTCTGTCTTGCTGGCTACTCCAGCGAGAGCTTGGCCCTGCATTTGCCTCTTCTCTTGGTGTGGTGGCCCTGTCAACTCTCACGGCGTTTGGGATAGGCAAACTCCTTGGACCACGCCAAAAGGCATGGATGGAAGCAATCGAAACGAGAGTCGGTGTCACTGCGGCTGCTATTGCGCAGATGAAACTGGTCAAGATGTCTGGCATGACGAAGCCAGTTCAGTCTTACGTGCAAAGACTGCGGGTGGGAGAGATTCAGATCGGTGGCCGTTGGCGTATGCTCCTCGCTACAGCGGCCACTGTCTCTCAGGTTCCCATGACTATATCTCCCGTTCTTACTTTTGCCGTCGCAACCGAGACACTGAACACTACCTCGATCTTTGTTTCAATTTCCTACCTTACACTTCTCGCATCCCCTCTGATGATACTGTTTCAGAAGATCCCTCAATTCCTCGGGGCCTTGACTTGCCTTCAACGGATCCAGACATATCTAGAACGAGATCCGAGGTTTGAGTATCGCCATCTTGATAATGGCATGGTCACAACCGCAACCGCAACTGTGACTTTGTCTTCTTCTTCTTCTTCTTCTGCCACTGGCACCGGCGATATGAGCATTGAGATGAAGACTTTAGGAGAGAAAGACACGCCTCACGTCATAATTAAGGACGGCAACTTTGGTTGGCACGACAAGGTCGCTGTTCTCAAGCGGGTCAACATAACTATTCCAACATCACAACTCACTGCTGTCGTTGGTCCTGCTGCAAGTGGAAAATCCACACTATGCAAAGCAATTCTCGGAGAAGTCTCGTTTGCGACAGGCTCCACGGTCGTCCTCCGATCAAAAAGTCATGGGCTACTGTGATCAACATCCCTTCTTGACAAATACCACCATCCGAGACAACATCGTTGGCAACAATTACTTCGACAATAAGCGATACAATTCCGTGATAAATGCTACTATGCTCGATCGGGACCTCACGGACCTCCCAAATGGCGATGGTACAATGATCGGAAGTAGTGGCATTGCATTAAGCGGTGG